ACGATTTTCAGTTTTTCTATTTTTTTTGTAACTTTTAGGAACACATTTTTAATTTAAATATTTAATTTACTATGGAAGACATTGGAATTTTTCCTAACTGGATGATAGAATTGTAAATAAAAAGACTTACTTATAGATATTATCCAGGATGGTGTGTACCCTTTAAGGTTTACTTGAATGGTTCGACCAAACATCCCCCTTTGATAATGGTATGCCCCCCCCCCCCCATCAATCACCAATTACAAAAAGTACTAGGCAACAGAGATGGTTTGTGTAAGACAGGAGAGCACACATGAACAATCAAACACAGACAGACATGGATATTTGGCCAAACCATCCAAAGAAATCCTGGAAGTTATCAGAAAGTATGACTAAATTAATAAGTATACCAATGCACCTGACTCTGATGTTTGGTCTTCAATAGTGAGATATCAGACAAGTGATGTTCTTTGGTCCTCGCTTCCTGCAAACTGAAATCACTGAACATTTCTCTCTTCAGACGTGCAATGGCATCAGCATGGGTCTTATCGCTGTCAGCTCTCAGTTTACTAAGTTTGGTCATGTATTCATCCTCAACTTTACTCTTCACGGTGTTAATTTCATTCAAAAATTCCTTCTCGATTTCTTTTTCACGTTGTTGGTAATGTTCTTCAGTCAGGATCAGTTTCTCATCTTTCTGCTGTAGTTCCTTTTCTAACACAGATTTCTCATACATCAGCTCATCTTCCTTTTCATTCAGCTTCTGCTCAATATCTTCTAGTTCACTTTCTAAGAGGCTTTTCTGTTTTGATAGCTCCTGCTCCAGTCTATCTTTCTCCAGCAAAATATCTTCTATTTTCTTTTGTTCACTAATCCGTTCATCTAAGGCCTGCTTCTGTTTTATCAACTCCCTCTGCAAATCTTCCTTCTCTTTCATTTTTTGACTCAATAGATCCTTCTCTCTGCGCAAACTTTCTTCCAGCATGGCTTTTTCACCCAGAACCTCTGGAAGGCTTCCTTGTTGACTTTGCATTTCCTCGAGTTGTCTTTGCAACATGTCTCGGTTGGATTGGATAGCAGTCAGCTGGCGTCCAAAGACCTCCTGCACCTCCTCAGAAACTGAATCTGAGGTCAGCATTCTCTGTGACATTTCAGTGACTTGCTTCTCGTGTTCCATGATTAACTTTTGTAACTTCTCTTTCTCTCTTTCAAGCTGTGCATTACTCTCCTGCAGCACCCCAATCTGTTTGTTTTTCTCAGTTAGAATCTCATGTTCTCGCTGTTCCTTCTTAGCAAGTAGTTGTTTGAGTTCAATGACATCCCTCTGTGTTGGTTCCAGGCCTTGTAGAAATTCAGAAGATGGTTCTTTTTGTAGAAGCTGTGCTGAAGTCACCTTCTCATAGTCTAGAGCCTGTTTAAGAAGCTCGTTTTCCTTGGTATATATTTCCTGAGTTTCTTTTAAGTCTTTTTTCAAGCGAGAAATTTCATTCATCAGGTCAACCGTCTTCTGATCAGAGAAGGAACTGGATGTATCATCAGCAGCTGACTCTGTCGTTGAAAACTGTGAGCTCAGCATTTCACGCAAACGCTCATTTTCATGCAACAGCTCCTCTTCTGATTCTTTCCGAGCACACAGTTCTTTCTCTAATTTTTCACTGCTATTGAGGGCTTCACTTTCTTTAATCTCTAAACTAGTTTTTAGCATGTCATTCTCTTGCTCAAGCTGTAACATCTTGGCAGCAAATTCAACACTGACTCCATTCTCTTTTGCATCATGAGAACCACCATCTGTGGAATCCACAGTTTTGGCTTTCAGCTCAGCAGTTACTTTGTCATAGCTTTCTTTAACAGCTCTCAATTCTTCCTTCAGTTCTTCTTTAGCTATTGTAACTGTTTCCAGGTTATTACTGACATCCTCAATTTCTTTCTCATACTCTTGTCTTTCCTGTTCAAAGAAGCTGGCTTGGTTAAGAAGCTTACTTTCCAAGATTTCATTTGCATCAGCTGCTGAGCTGCTGTCAACCTGGTCTTGCATTTCGCTCAGCTTTCCCTCAAGATCATCTCTTTCCATCTGAAGCCTACTGTTCTCTTCTTTCAAGCTAGTAATGCTTATCTTGAATTCAACTAAATCTGCTTCCATATCAGCCAATTCTTTTCTGAGCATCTCATTTTCATTTATCAAAGCATCAGATTTTTCACTGTTGAAGACAGTATCTTGTGTGGGAAGATACGAGTCTATAGTTACACCACTTCGAACAGACTCCAGTTCAGCTTCCAGGGATTCTTTCTGATCTCTGATATCATCCCTTTCATTCATGATTGTCAGCAGATCATCTTGCATCTGTTCTTGTTGCTGATGACATTCATCAATCTGCTGCAGTAGAGCATCTCTGGCTTCACTCAAATCCTGGTTCTCACCTCTCAGCTTGGTAACAATTTCAAGGTCTGCAACTGAACCTGCAGGAGACGACTCCATGCTCATCTGATGGAGCTGCATCTCTAGGTGTGGTGCATGATGCTGAGGTGTGTGATACTGTTCTAAAAGTGATGGATCAATCAGACTCTCGCTTTCCTTTTCTATAATCATTCCTTCTTCTAATGGATGTTTGATTGAAGCTTTTTCACTTTTCTCCACTTCATACTTCTCTCGATACTCCTCAAGTTCTTTCTCATGTCTCTCTGATAACTCTTTTCGAACATTTTGTAACTGCTCAATGAACTCCTTATCTTTCTCAGCTTTTACACCTTCAACAACTTGTTCATAATACTCTTCCAACTCTTGCTTATATGTTTTCACATCTTCCTCATAATCAACAGCAAGAGAAGTCTTCAATCTTTTTATTTCAATTTCATGCATGCTGGAAATTCTATCTTGCTGGTCTTCCATTTTTTTCTCATATTTCTTCTCAAGCTCTTCTTCAATTTCCCTTTTGAGATCCTCGATGTTGACACTCACTTGAGCAACTTTAAGCTCATTTTCAAATTTTGTCCTGAGATTATAGATTTCCTGTTCATGTTTTAATTTAGCTGTTTCCTTTTCTTCTGACACACTCTCAAGTTTGTTCATCAACTGCATGACAGCCTCATCCTGCTCTACTTTCATTCTCTCAATCTGATCCAAATACTCGGTTCTTAGTTTAGCAATTTCATTGGAATCAGTCTCTGTGTGGTTGATCTGAGACTGTAAAACTGCAATTTCCTCACTATGTCTGGCTTCTAAACTAACATTCTTGTCATTTGCTTGAATCAGTTGTTTCTGAAGCCATTCAATTTCCTTTTTGAATTTATCATCCTGGTCAGAAGTTTGCAGGCTTAATTCTTTGAGGTCCTGAATTTCTTTCTGATAGGTGCTAACAGATTCTGCAAAGTTTGTGTTTAACTGAGCAATGTCAATTTTATTGCGATCCATCACCAAGTCCTTTTCAGTTATCTGTGATTTTAACTCTTCAATTTCATTTTGTAATGCGTGGAGTGTATTTTGCTGAACAGTATTATTTTTCACTTGTTCCTCAAGGTGTTTGTATTTGTTGTCCCATGCATCTAGTTCTTCTCGATGTCGTTCTCCCAGCTGTTGTTTCATAATGTTGATTTGTTGCCCATATGTTTCATCCAACTCAGCTCTCAACTCTGCCAGTCTGATTCCAGTGTTTTGCTCAGCATCGGAAGCGACATCATGCACAGTTTGGTGGGCTTTTGTCTGAAGCTCCTGAATACTGGCCATTAACTGACGGACTTCTTCAGATGACTTGTGTTTGATTTCATCTCTTTCTTTGGCGATATTGTTCAGTTCTTGGCACTTCGTAGAAAACAACTCCCCTAATTCCTGCAATGCTACATCTTTTTCTTCAATGGCTCTCGATAACTCCTCTACTTTTTTCTTGGCATCAGCCAGCTGTTCACCTGTAGATGCATGTTCCCTCGTCTGACTCATGACGACTTCTTGAGCCTAGAGGAGAGAAATAAACCATTAGCAAGCTGTCAACACAATGTTGAAGCAGTATAACCCTTTGAATGCCACAATGTTATTTAGTACTTTTCGAAAATGTCCATGTTAATATTGAACCAAATGACTTTTCTATTAGCTATAGAAACTATATAAGAAATACAAGGTTTATTTTGAGAAAGGTGATAAAAGGTGACTTGAGGAATTCAAAGAGTTGTATGTAATATATATGCATGTCCATTCCAGAATGGTTGGTGCTAAAAGTGGAGATCAGATCCACACTTTCAATTTATGATAAAGAGTACTGCTTTATATCAATCATACTGTGACATTGTAATGTTAATTCCCAAATGGTGAACAATATTAATCAACATATAGTATATGATGTGTCAGTTGTCCCACATGGGCAAGCTTTCATAATAAGCATCAGTGTTAGTAATGAGAAGTATTGCATGGTGCTGAATGCCGTCTATAATGTAAGCAGTACAATTTGTTAAGAAGACAAGTGCAAAGATGCAATGGAAAGAAAATATTAAAATAATAAGGAAGATGATGATAATAATAAAAGTAGAAAGGGGTTGGCAACCTGTTGTAGCTGCTGTCGTAGTAATAATATATGCTGTGTAAGCTGGTGTGCTTGGCTAGTAGCTTCAACTTGCAGGGAATCACGGTTTTGTAAAACGCTTTGTAGGTTTACAGATAGCTGCTTGATCACCTCATCTCTTTGCAACAAGGCTTGTTGAAATTCCTGGATCTGAGTGGGGTGGATATTAGTAACATAAGTATGGACGGATTCACTTGTGCACAAGCTTGGATTGGGGGAGATTGACATTTATGAAAACGTAGCTTTCAGATATTTTGATATTTTATTACATATGTGCGGTTTTCGATTTTTTTTTAATTTAAATTTTGTAGTGTAAAATGATAGTTGTATTTTCTATTGGTTTGTTCACATTTTTTGTTGGTAATTATTCAGATGAACGAGTTAATAGGTGATTGACATTTCCAAAATAATTATACTGTCTGTAAACTTAGTCGATTTCATGTCGCATGGATATTAACTGAAATTTAAATTCATGGTTTTAATTTTAACATAATATTTAGTTATCGGTGACAACAAGTTGTATTGAGTTGCATTTCAGATTGCCGTAAAGTTAAATGAAAAAGGCAATTAATCATTATTATAAATGGCCAATTTAAATAATTAGATTGATTATTCCAGGAATAGTACACCAAAGTAGAGTCACCAATGTTTCTTGACTTTGGAAGAAATATTTTATAGTAGTTTTTATAAAAGAACATATATAACGAGAATCAAATATTGTTTTGTTAGTGTCACACATCTCTATTATTCATAATTCACTGCAATCAAACTATTATAGAAAATAGATTTATCAGAAAATTAACTCTTAGAAAGTAAAACATGCATTCACCATATATCATACATGCAAATTGGAAACCTCTTTCAAACCCTAGACTGACACACATTAAATCATTGTACAGTATGTGATCACATTTCATATATTTTAAACATGCTGTATGCCACACAGGACCCAGGCTGCTTGTCACATGGCCAGTCCTGTCCAGACCAAGCCAGGCCAGGCCAGTCAAGTGCAGGCCAGGCCAGTGAAGACCTAGCCAGGCCAGTCCAGTGAAGACCTAGCCTGACCAGTCCAGTGCAAACCTAGCCTGGCCAGTGCAGTGCAAACCTAGCCTGGCCAGGCCAGTCCAGTCCAGTGCAGTGCAGTGAAAACCTAGCCTGGTCAGTGCAGTGTAAACCTAGCCTGGTCAGTGCAGTGCAAACCTAGCCTGGTCAGTGCAGTGCAAACCTAGCCTGGTCAGTGCAGTGCAAACCTAGCCTGGTCAGTGCAGTGCAGTGCAAACCTAGCCTGGTCAGTGCAGTGCAAACCTAGCCTGGTCAGTGCAGTGCAAACCTAGCCTGGTCAGTCCAGTCCAGTGCAAACCTAGCCTGGTCAGTGCAGTGCAAACCTAGCCTGGTCAGTGCAGTGCAAACCTAGCCTGGTCAGTCCAGTGCAAACCTAGCCTGGTCAGTCCAGTGCAAACCTAGCCTGGTCAGTCCAGTCCAGTGCAAACCTAGCCTGGTCAGTGCAGTGCAAACCTAGCCTGGTCAGTCCAGTGCAAACCTAGCCTGGTCAGTCCAGTCCAGTGCAAACCTAGCCTGGTCAGTGCAGTGCAAACCTAGCCTGGTCAGTGCAGTGCAAACCTAGCCTGGTCAGTCCAGTGCAAACCTAGCCTGGTCAGTCCAGTGCAAACCTAGCCTGGTCAGTCCAGTCCAGTGCAAACCTAGCCTGGTCAGTGCAGTGCAAACCTAGCCTGGTCAGTCCAGTGCAAACCTAGCCTGGTCAGTCCAGTCCAGTGCAAACCTAGCCTGGTCAGTGCAGTGCAAACCTAGCCTGGTCAGTGCAGTGCAAACCTAGCCTGGTCAGTGCAGTGCAAACCTAGCCTGGTCAGTCCAGTGCAAACCTAGCCTGGTCAGTCCAGTCCAGTGCAAACCTAGCCTGGTCAGTGCAGTGCAAACCTAGCCTGGTCAGTGCAGTGCAAACCTAGCCTGGTCAGTGCAGTGCAAACCTAGCCTGGTCAGTGCAGTGCAGTGCAAACCTAGCCTGGTCAGTGCAGTGCAAACCTAGCCTGGTCAGTCCAGTGCAAACCTAGCCTGGTCAGTCCAGTCCAGTGCAAACCTAGCCTGGTCAGTGCAGTGCAAACCTAGCCTGGTCAGTGCAGTGCAAACCTAGCCTGGTCAGTCCAGTGCAAACCTAGCCTGGTCAGTCCAGTCCAGTGCAAACCTAGCCTGGTCAGTGCAGTGCAAACCTAGCCTGGTCAGTGCAGTGCAAACCTAGCCTGGTCAGTCCAGTGCAAACCTAGCCTGGTCAGTGCAGTGCAAAACTAGCCTGGCCAGTGCAGTCCAGTGCAAACCTAGCCTGGTCAGTGCAGTGTAAACCTAGCCTGGCCAGTGCAGTGCAAACCTAGCCTGGTCAGTGCAGTGCAAAACTAGCCTGGTCAGTGCAGTGCAAACCTAGCCTGGTCAGTGCAGTGCAAACCTAGCCTGGTCAGTGCAGTGCAAACCTAGCCTGGTCAGTGCAGTGCAAAACTAGCCTGGCCAGTCCAGTGCAGTGCAAACCTAGCCTGGTCAGTGCAGTGCAAAACTAGCCTGGTCAGTGCAGTGCAAACCTAGCCTGGTCAGTGCAGTGCAAACCTAGCCTGGTCAGTGCAGTGCAAACCTAGCCTGGCCAGTCCAGTGCAGTGCAAACCTAGTCTGGCCAGTCCAGTGGAGGCCAGACCAGTGCAAACCTAGCCTGGCCAGTCCAGTGAAGGCCAGTCCAGTGCAGACCTAGCCTGGCCAGTCCAGTGCAGTGCAGACCTAGCCAGGCCAGTCCAGTGCAGACTTAGCCAGGCCAGTCCAGTGCAGACCAAGCCAGGCCAGTCCAGTGCAGACCAAGCCAGGCCAGTCAAGTGCAGGCCAGGCCTGGCCAGTCCAGTGCAAACCTAGCCTGGCCAGTCCAGTGTAAACCTAGCCTGGCCAGTCCAGTGTAAACCTAGCCTGGCCAGTCCAGTGTAAACCTAGCCTGGCCAGTGCAGTGCAAACCTAGCCTGGTCAGTGCAGTGCAAACCTAGCCAGGCCAGTCCAGTGCAGTGCAGTGCAGTGCAGTGCAGACCTAGCCAGACCAGTCCAGTCCAGTGCAGACCTAGCCAGGCCAGGCCAGGCCAGTCCAGTCCAGTCCAGTGCAGTGCAGTGCAGTGCAGACCTAGCCAGACCAGTCCAGTCCAGTGCAGACCTAGCCAGGCCAGGCCAGGCCAGGCCAGTCCAGTCCAGTCCAGTGCAGTGCAGTGCAGTGCAGTGCAGTGCAGACCTAGCCAGTCTAGTCCAGTCCAGTGTAGACCTAGCCAGGCCAGTCCAGTCCAGTCCAGACCTAGCCAGGCCAGGCCAGTGCAGACCAGTTCAGTGCAGTGCAGACCAGTCCAATGCAGTGCAGTGCAGACCTAGCCATGCCAGTGCAGTGCAGTGCAGACCAGTCCAGACCAAGCCATGCCAGTGCAGTGCAGTGCAGTGCAGTCCCAGTGCAGTCCCAGTGCAGTCCCAGTGCAGGCCATTTCATTCCAGGCCAGGCCAGTCCTAACCAGTCCAGTCCAGACCAGACCAGGTCAGGTCAGGAGGCCAGGCC